GAAGAAATCTGTCATGGTCTTTATTGCTGCCCCTGGGCCGAGGGGAGCTGCCTGTCTTCACTCTTCATGAGCATGCATATTCACAAACACACACGCATACACTGCTTCGTATTCTTAGAAAAAGAATGAATCATTCTGGGACACTGGAAGGGTTTACAAATTGTCTGCAAATGGCATGAATTATTGCGGCAGTCTTGTCCAAACGGCCTCTCGCAAAGCTCTCCCAGACAGAAATGGGGACAGATTCTATGCAAACCTCTGGAAGGAATCAAGATAAATTCATTTGTAGGAGAATGAGCCAATAAAAGTTCTCCCTGGTCACTCTGTAGAAGGCAGCCGAGGAAAGCTGAGATTCAAAGGAGCTTCTGTTCCCCTTCTCTAGAAGGGCTGAGAGCAGAGACTGTTCTTTATATATACTCACAGAATGGAAATCTGCTTTAAGAGGTGCAGAAGGGCCGTAACTGTGGTTCACATCCCTCTCTTTCGACAGCAGATCGTAAAGCTCTGCATTCTGTAGAGCTGTGGGGAGAGGAGTTTGATTTGCTCACATGGACATACTTTTCCCTGTGGGCTGGGAACTTCGAGAGAGATTATGACTCTTGCTAAACATCACAGTCTGGCCCAGTACATTTCCTTAATGAGTTTTTCAGGGCAAAAAGAATAAAATAAGCAACTAGGAAGCACAGAGCCACTTAGCTTTTCTTGCCTGATGTAAAACAAGATGTCCCATTTGCTACCTATTGTGATGCTCAGTGTATTTTAATTGCATGGCAGCTTCCACCTAATAGAAATGGCATTTTGTATGCCTATAAATAGTTCCAGCTATCCCATAATCTCAGAACAATTTACAAATATTAATGAGTTGAGACATGGAAGAAGATCTTATCCTCCCTTTACGAACAGGGAAACTGAGGTAATTAAACAGGAAGATTTTTCAGCACCTCGTAGAGTGATTGTCTTGACCTCAGAAGCTGTGACAACCTGGATAAGCCAGACAGCAATTTGTAATTTGAGTAATTTGGCCAGAGAGACTCTCCAAAAACCACATAGAAACATAGGGCAGGTCTCAGAATAGGAAGCACGCCTTCTGCCCCTACCCTCTACTTTGTACTGTTGGACAAAATGTTCTTGTAGGTTCCCAGGCTGTGCAAAAAGGTCATATACTACAAAAATGAAAAGATTAAAGGAAAAATAACCAATACCAACAAGAACATCATCAGATGTATGGAATCACTTTTGTCTTATCGATGTTTTTTTAAACGCCTGTTCCTAGAGGGTCCAGATGTGAGGGTTTATGTGGGAGCTCTGCCACCAGCCAGCGCTGACGCTGGTGTCCTGCAGGGTGGCACTCCGCTCCCATTTATATGCCAGAACACTGACAATAGAAATAAAAATAGAATTTGCAGAAGTCCTGATGCTGGAACACAGAATGGCAACAAAAACTGGCAAATCAGGCAAAACTGGCCGAGATGAAGTCCCTAGTTTTATTGCCTGTCTTCAAGCTGTGAAATAAGTGGGGGAGAACAGTGAATAGATTGCACATCGGTTGTTCGCTGCTGCACTAAAGCCCTGGAGGAAGACTTCCAACAGCACGAATGAAGGTTCGATACCCAGCTCCTGGTGGCTTCCAGTGGGACGGAGCGCTTTCATTTCCTTTCATGCTTTTAAATGTCTTTATCAGCTGCACCACTGAGAATTGGATGGAGAGCAGAGAAGTGGCAGTACTTCCATGCTGACGAGGCAGAGCTGGGAGAACAGACAGAGAATCGCTCTGCGCTCGCTCCCGCCATGGCTCCTGCTGTTGGGCAGAGAGCTTGGGTCATTACCAAACCCGAGACCAAAGACGAGGTACTCTGGAGAAGGCAGAACCAGTGGGAAGGACATGGAGAGCTTGGTTTAAGGCACTTTCCTAAGAGCAAGCACAACTCAAACCGGGAAAGCTCTGACACTAAAACTATCAATGACTTGGTGGGTGGTGGTGGATTTGGGCCACCAACTGAGGAGAAAGGGGGCTGCCATTTTGGGGTGCTTTGAATCTCTTTGGCAGACAAGCACACGAACATAGCCTACTAGAAGTGGTTTGGACAGGGCTGCGTGAGATGAAAGCTGGAGAGATGCTTCTGCGAATGAGTAGCCCTGAGCTAAACTTTAGCTGCTGCATAGATCAGATCTGAGTCCCTCAAAGCTAAGATGACACTGGAGATCTTGTTAGAGAAGCAGGATAGGAAGATGCAGCCAGATTTCTGCCTGTCGTTATCTGTGTTGTGCTCTTCATGGCCTGGGGAAACCCCCAAACTTCTCACTGGAAGTTCTCCTTTGCCTGCAGCCGAGGTAGACGTTCGCTTTGCCCAAGCTTGGCTCTGAGCTGGATTGCCCTCCTGCCCCATGTTGGAGGACGATATTTGCATGAGGAGTGGATGTGCTTGAGGGCTGGCCGTGGCTCGCAAATTGGGCCCCCCCAAACAGAGACTTCTAAAAGAGTTGCATGGAGACTGCATCTAGATCTGTGGGCTTGTAGTGCCCAAGGTGGGGCTTGCAGGTCAGCTCTTTGTTGTTGCGGGGAGTTTCTTTTGAGGAGAACGTGCTGAACGTGTGGGATGCTGCTTTGTCCCCTGTCTACGAAAATTCTGAAGCTATTTCAGTTTGATCTTGGCATTTCCATAACCTGAAAAGAGAGAGACCCAAAACCACAACCTTGGAAGTTAAACACATCTGGCCTTTGGACAAGATTCGTTTTACATTTCCACTCTGCAGTTCGGCTTGAGCTTGAATTGTCATTAAAATCACCCAGCTCCGTCCATGCAGACCAGCCAGCACCGTTACCAGTAGTACAAGGTTACGAGCCAGTTTCATCCACTGCTTTTTCTGTGTACAGCAATTTAGATCGGATTGTCCTTGGCCTATTTTTTTGAGAAGAAATATCATCTTTTAGTGCCAAATAATCTCTCTTGCAACTTTCTCCCTTCCCCCCATAGTATGGGCGAGGAGCTGCTGTTTGCCGTTACTTTGGCTGCTTAGTGGGCACGCGTCGGTGAACTGTGTGTGTGTGAGTCCCTGTGTGTGTTGAGTGCATGTGCTGAAGTGTTGTCTGAAGGTCTGCCTGGCACCGGCGGTGCTTCGCACCAGGAAAACTTGGCTAAGGTCTACGAGTATTCCTGCTATTGGATTGTCCGAGACAAAATTAGCTTGAAAAGTCATGGGAGGTGTCCGTCATCGCCATTCCTCAGTCGCGTTCTGCAGCTTTCTCTTCATCCTTTCCATCAGTAGCAAGGGAGTTTTAGTTAAAATGTAGCCCATTAGCAAGGTGTTGACCACACTGCGCAGCCAGGCTTGTTGAAAGACGCAGGAAACCACTTTGCAAAGGTGT